TTCCCCCCCCCCCCCCCCCTGAAACTGCTGCTGTCTATATCCCCGAATTTCCTTCTCCTTTCCGTATTTCTCAATCTGCTCCTCCGAACACTCTGCATCCCCGCCATGTGGGTGCAGCTAGTTCAGGATGGCCATAGCTAGCTCCAGCTGGTCCTTGCTAGTTCCAGCTAGCAAGGGCTGGCTGTCAGCTGGCCCCACATACCTTCCAGCTAGCTTTAGCTAGCTGCAGCTGGCTAACGCTAGGCCCAGCAAGCTCTCACTAGAGTTTGAGGTGTTAACTTCACCTGGCTAGAGGTCAAACGGAGCCCACAACCCCTAGCTTACTGTGATAGTTAGCTGAATATGTAGCTAACTAGCCAACTAGCCAGCTCTCTATGCTCTTTTGCTGGCTGGCTAGCTAGGTAGCTAGCAAGTAGCACATGCCGGGGGGTGATTCACGCGGGCGAATTCCCGTTGCTCATGCACAGAGAAGAACTGGGGTCTGTGTAACTAGCAGCAGCTACCTGGGCGACCTCCAGACTGCTGCTGCTAGCTAGCTATGGCCAGCTAGCTAGCAGCGGCTGGCTAGCTCGGTGCAGCTAGTTGGAGGAGAACTGTGATCTCCGTTCGGCTTAGGGAAGCCAGACACACCCTCCGTCGATGGGTTTGAATTTTTGTCTGTCTCTCGACCTGTGTTTGAGTTGCTGGAGGGGTTGCTTAGCAAAGAAGCGAAGCTGCGTCGGGGTCTGCAGAGGGAAGGCGCGGCCTTCGAGTGTGTAGGCAGGGAAAGCAGCAACGCGGCGGCCGTGGAGCGGTGGGGCTGCATGCAGCAGCTGCAGAGCTTTACGCACTTCCTGCGCTGTTTGCAGCAGCAAAAAGAGACGCCCCGAGTGGTCGCGTTGCTGCCTCCATGGAGAGGCTGCTGGTCCTGCTCCTGCTGTCGGAGGAGGAGATAGCCGCTGCAACCCCACAACTGCGCTCGAAACACAAGAAGAAAACCAACTCTTTATCTTCTCAACAGACACCTCAAAAGGCAGATTAGTCAAAAAAACCGCTGTCACCCTCATCTGATGTTCCACAGACAGCTCATCCAACATTGATACACCGCAACTCAAAAAACTGGCACTGTTGCTGTTGCTGCTGTTCCTTTCTCCAAAAGGCGCCCCAGGGGATACACTGCTGCTGCTGCTGCTGCTCTCCTTGTTGCTGCCTCTACCAGATCCTGAACCAACAGGGGAAACTGGCGGTTCCCTGCTGCTTGATTCGGGGGTCGGGCTGCGCGACATGTCTGAAGAATCCCGTTGTACTTGCTGGTTTTGCTGCTGTTGTTGTTGCGGCTGCTGCTCGTCGTCATCGCTGCTGCTGGCCGTCACGCTTTCATCATCAGAGTCCATCCACTCGAACCTCTTCCTCTTCTTCCGAGGCTCCTGGTGCTGCGGTTCTTGCTCTTGCTCTTGCTCCTGCTCTTGCTTCTCCTCTTGCTGCTCTTGCTGTTGCTGCTCTTCATCTTCTTGCAGCAGCTTTAGGTCTTCCTCACTGAGGGAGGGGAGCACTGGCGCGTCTCCCTTCTCAAACTCCTCTCGCCAACGCGCTCTGGAGATACATCCCGAGGCCCCTCCGTCGGGGCCCCCCACTGTCTTTCGCCTCCGACCTAACATTAAATGAGAACAAATGCTACTATTTTAGCAAGCTTAAGAACTAGAGAGAAGCTACGGGCGTTGGTGCTGCTGCAGCAACTGCTGGAGGTCAGTCTGCTCCACCTGCTGACTCTGCTCCTGAAGATGCTGCCGCGCTGATGCTGGGCCAGATCCTGCTGATGCTGCTCCTCAGACTGCTTCTGCGCCGGCTACTGCTAAGAAGCGCACATAAGGTGGCATCGCGCGGTTGGCGGTCCTACAGCAACAGCAGCAGGTGCTGCTCATGCCGTTGCTGCTGCGGTTGATGTTGCTGTCGCTTTAATGTTCAAACATGAAGTGAGACTCCTCACCACGCTGGATTCGTGGCGCACTACTCGGTTCAAGCGCAGCTCAAGCTGACCTCGTTGGTAGTGCTGCTACTGTTGTTGTTGTTGCTGCTACTAAAGCAGCTACACGCATTGCCGCTCCTGCGGCTGCTCCTCACCCTGGCTCTGTCGTTCCTATAAATAATGCTGCCTATCAAAGGGACAACACGACACTCGATAGAAAGGCGAATGCTGCTGCTGCTCCTGCAAATAACAGAGGCAGCAGCGGCAGCAACAGCAAAGGTGGGGTGCCAGGCCACCCTTCTTTGCATGCGTTGCGCATAAATGCCAAATTGATAACTTTGCAGCGGCGGGTAGTTCGCCTGGATTTACTTCGCAGCAATAGTGCTGCTGCTGATTCGGTTGCTGCTGCTGTCGCATGCAAGGCACCCGTTGCTGCTGCTGCTGCAGAGCGTGATGCCTTTGGAGGCATTTACTGACAATTACTTTATTTTCGAATGTCACTCATTTCGTCTTTGAGCAAAGACAGCAGTGAAACCAGGCAGTAGTAGCGACACCGCAGTCGAGCAAGAGCAATTGCAGCAGCAGCAGCGCCAGCACACGAGGGCCCCCTTGGGCAGAAGCACGCGACGGCTTTGCCTTCTGCTCCAAATTGTTATATTCAGCTGTCCTGGTGCTATTTCTGCGCATTCCACATTGTCACCTGTATTCCGCGGTTGCTGCCGCTGCCATCGTTAGTTGCGTTAGAGTTGCTGCTTCTGTTGCCACTGCCGCAGCAGAATCTGCTGCAGCAGAATCTGCGGCAGCAGAATCTGCCAGAGCAGCAGGTGAAGCAGCATCTGTAACGCATAGCAGCCCGTTTGAAAGGGGCGATAAAATTCGAGGGTCCCATCCGAACTACCTACGTGTCCCAGGGGTGTAGTGTTTTTAAGGTGTAGGGTTTACGACCATGTCAAAGGAGAAGTACCAAAAACAATGGGAGGCCATTTCCCACAAGATTGAAAAGGCAGTAAGTGCAATAAGAGCATCAACAGTTGAAGTGACGGAAACAGAAGCTTCAGGAGTGACAATAACAGACGGAGTAGAAGCAGGAAGAGCAGTACAAACACTTATCCGTGTTTCTCACAGACGTGGTCAAGGACACTATGATGCTGTTTATTCTACTCCTGCTGCTACTGCTTCTGCTGCTACAGAACTCCGAGTTGCTGTGTCTGACCTACGGATCATTGGTGAGCCAACTTTTGAAGGACTTCGAACAGGTTGAAGCTGTGAACGCCCAGTTAGAAAAGATGTAAGTTCTAGGGCGTATGGTTTAGGGTCTAAGGTGTTGGGTTGGTTTTTTGTGGCTTGAAGTAGACCTGGTGGATTTTTCCCCTCGCAGTTTGCATTTTTGTTTAACTTTGCGGTTTTGCTGGTGGCGGCAATGCTGCTGCTTTGCTGGTGGTGCTGCGGCTTGTGCAGGGGCTACAACATTGGGGTACGTTTGGTGGATGAGTTTTTGGCAAAGGCGAATATTGGGGCTTGTGAAAGCTTCAGAGAGACGGCAGAAGTCATTGCAAAGGCAAGTCGTAGGTCTCAGATGAGGGTTTGTGGTCCACGGTTTGGAGGTCTCGGGTTAGACTTGACGGATTTGCCGGGGCGGACACGATGCAAGAGCGGGGTATCTGCATTTTCATGTGTTGGTACATTTGTGCTGCTTCTGCACTTGTTTCTGTTGCTGCTGCTGCTCTTTGTGCATGTGCTGTTGGTCCACATGCTTGTGTTGCTGCTACTGCATTTTCTATTGATTTTGTCGTGTTGCTGCTGTTGCTGGAACTTTTCTAGCACAGCTTTTATCTGATCTGTTGTTTGGTTACGTAGCTATTGCATCCCTCCCTCCGTCTGTCTTAGTTGCTGTGCGAGCCTGTTCGTTTGGTTTGTTGTTTGATTGATTAACCTTTGTTGTTTGATTGATCCGTTGGTCATGTGTTTGCTTAGCTCTGTTTGCTTGCTTGACTCTGTTTGTGTGCCTGCTTGTTTGTATAGCTTTGTTTGCATGCTGAGTTGTTTCTGCGCTTGGTTGTTTACTTTTGTGCTTGTTTAACATTGCCTGTCAGTTTTTGTTTAACCGTGGTCTTTCGTGTAGTTGTTTGCGTCTGCATCGTGGCTTTTCTCCCCTGGTCTACTGGTTGTCTCACCTTTTCGTCCACCCCTGTTCTGTTTCTGTGAGTTCGTTGTATGAGTCCATTTGTTTTTTTTTCTTTTTTTTTTGCTGTTTTATTCTTGGTGTACAGCTGGGGTTGCGGATGTTCCTAGGGGTATCAGGGGAGGTTGTTGCCACTGGGCGCGACGACAGAAGCTTCTCCTTGATTTTGCATGCAAACCCTCTTGCGGATTTTGTTGATTTGCCTCATTCTCTTTCTTCTCTTTGTTATTCCAACCTCATCTGTGGGGTCATACGAGGCGCCCTCGAACAGGTTTGCACTCCGGGGACTAGGGTTTAGGGTATAATGTTTCGGTTTCCCAGTTGCTGTTGCTCGTCTTTTCTGCCATTTACTGTTCTTCAGCTGTTTGGATGGCTGCGGCTTGTTCGTCAGCTGGTTTGCTTGTCTGCCTGGTTTGTTATCTGCTTGTCTTTCCGCTTGTGTTTTGGTGTCTTTGCTTGCTTGTTTGTTTTTTTTGTGTTCTTTTCTTTTTTCGTGGTTGGCATGTTTCCCCGTTTGTTTATGTGCCCCCGTTAGTTCCTGCTGGCTCGTTTCTCGTCGTCTATATTCGTTCAAATGCTCCTATTTCTCATTGTGTGTTTGTTTGTTGGCTTCTTAGTTCGCTGATATCTGCCTATGTGCTTTCGTTTGCCACTTTCTTTACGCTTCCAAATACACAGTACCGTTTACAGTTTAGCATCCGAGGTTTAGGTTTTTGGGTTTGTGTGCGTTGTTTTACAGCTACGGATGCGCGTGTCTTGCTACTTTGTTAAGGACATGCTCAAGGGAGACGATGTCTATGAGATTCGCCTCGAACTCAAAGAGGTGGGGAACCTCCTGCTTCCTGCGTATCGTGCTACTGCTGCTACTGATGATGTTAATATTGTCCCTACTGTTTCTGCCACTGCTGCTGCTGAAGTTGCCATTAGTCCTCCACCTGCTGCTGTTAGTCTTGGGCTAGTGCTATGGCCCCGACTCACCGTACCGTTGCTAATTCTTTGCCTAATCCTGTTCCTGCTTACTACGAGTTCTTCCCTGCTGCTGCCAATGCTTCTCTTTATGCTGGTGCTACTACAAATGCTGCTGTTAATCGTTCGGCTGCTTCTGCTACTACTGCTCCTAGCATCCTGCTGCTGCTGCTGCTGCTGTTGCTAATGCAATTGTCGTTAGCTTGCAGCTGGTGGTGGTGGTTCTGCTGATGTTAAATGCTAGTACTAATGGCGATTCCTGCACATGGCAGGATAATACAGTTTAGAAGGCGATCGATCCGTGTGCTGTCGGGGTGTACGTACAGCTGATGAAGGAAGAATTCCAGGACGATGACGATGCCTAGGAGACGGCAAGCCACACAGCCCAAGTCAATTCTCGTTTTTAATTGCTGATGATGCGGCAACGTCGGTTTGTTTGTCAGGAACAGCAGCTGAGGAGTTGCTGCTAGAGATCTCTGTTACCCTCCGAATTCCCCTCCTACTGGCTCCTTTCAGTTACTGCTGCACGACATGCGTCTCATTGCTGCTGCCGTGTAACTGGACTGAGCAGCACATGCACCTTGAGGTGTGTGTTCGTTTGGTCTGCATCTTGCGACAAACACGAACGAGAGGCAAACCATGTGTTTTAAGAGAGTGTGCTTCGTACAGATGCTCTACCACACACACCATCTTAAGAGATAACACAATGTGGTTGCTGTTGTTTGCCGCTACTTCTTTCTTTCCCGGCCCGCCTTTTCTTTTTCTTGGTTTTTCGCCCTCTGTGTCGAGACTTGTCTGAGGCAGAAGCTTCCTTGAAGCTGCTGCAGTGACGACAAACTCTAACCCAGAGTCTACAACATAAGACGTGTTGGCCTCGTTGCCTTTGGAATATCATTTTAAAACAACATTGCTGTCTCTCTGTATTTTAAGGGGACGGAGAATGCGACGCTCTTTGTTGCTTAGGCTGCTTGGTCTTTCATTTGTTGAAGCATTTGTTGTCGCGTTCGTTTCTGTATTTGTATATGTTCGACCATGTTATCGTACCTGCAGTTTTCTCACCGTCGTATTCATCGCTTTTTTACTTGTTCTTCATTGGTTTTCCCACATGTTCTTATGTTTGTTTGTTTATGTACCTATTTGTCTGTTTCGCTGTGTCCGTCGAGCTACACAAGTTGCAGCAGGCTTGGTTTAGGGGGTTGGCGGAGGCGGTAGGTATCTGCTGGATAAGAAAAAAGCGCAAGAGCCGCAGGCTCCCCTGTCTCCTCAATAATTAAGTACAAAGTATGTGGCATAGTTGGGCATACTACATTGCGTAATTATTTGCAACGAATGAATGAAAGCCCCATCGCGTAGAGGCACTATCTACGGGCACCACGCTGTCGCAACTGGCAGAAGGGCAGTCTGGCGGGTTTATTGTTGTGTGCTGCTGTACATGAGTGTTTTTCTACTTATTTTTATTGCAAATAAATTAACAAAAATGTGGGAACAATTTTTTTGGTTACTTCTGCCGCAAAAAATGAAGAGATATTACAAATGGCATAGAAGAGGAGGGGAGGGCTGACCAGCCGCCGCTGGTGATTTAGGTTCTGGGCTTGGGGTTTGGTGTTACTTGTTCGTTCCCCTGATATTTAAGTTCATTTTTCAGGTACTTTGAAGGTATTTTAGTTATCAGGAAGGTTTTAATTTTTCTTTGTCAGTTTGCATCTCATAGAAGGAGAAGCATTCTGCCCGTTCCAGGTATATCGGCAGCTAGCCGGGGTGCCACAGCATCAGCAAAACAGAAGAACTCGGCGGAGACGGTGAGCCGATTTTTCCCCCGTTTTTATTGTGCATAACGCTCAAATGAACAAACGAATAGAGAAGAGGCTGCTGGCTCCTCTCTCAATTGCCACTGCAGCGGGGAAGGAGCTCCTGAGCAGGCGGCACAGAGAGAGGCTACATACACTAATTAGCTGAGGAAGAGAAGGAAGAGTAACAAGCTCATGCATATATTATTGACAGCAGGGAGAGGTAGTGGAATGGGGCCTTAGTTCTCTGGGTGTGCATTCAGCAATAATATGCACTTACATATTTCTCTCGCGAATCCAAGTTTTTTTTGTTCGAGGGATGTGGTGGGTTTGTGTCTGTTGCTTTTAATTTTTGTGTGCTTTTTAGTTATTCTGTTAATAATGCGGGCGCTTCCCTTCGCTTTCTTCTTAGATTCGCCTAGTTGTTCGCTGGAGAGCAAACTAATTGTAGCCCAGAAAGCAAACACTCAGTAACAAACGCGCGAACGAACAGACGAAGAACATGCAATTGTTTTAGTTTCAAACAACGTCTAGCAACTGTATAATAATAACGGGACCTTTAAGTGGATTTTCCTTTCCTTCTGGGCTCGTTTTGTGTTGGTTTTATGTTTTTCTGTGCCTTTTTTCGTTTACCGTGGTCGAGGCGTGTCCCTTTCTGTTTGTGGTATGTAGGGAGGATCATAAAGGTATTAGGGACAATGAATATCAGTCAGGAGGCAACAGCAGCACAAGATGCGGCAACAACAGCACAGCAGCTCTCAACAGTGCAGTGGGATCCTTCGATCCCAGACCCCACACTTCAACCGGACCTCCCGGAGTTCTGCAGCGAAGAAGAGAAACAGAGAGCCTTAAGTGCAGCTTTAAGCGCAGCAGCCGAAGCGCTGCAACAGGAGCAGCAGGACTCTCACGAGGAGGTGGGCTGCCGTTTGTTGTGCTGCAGACGGATTATTGAGCACATATTTGTCTAGTTCATATCAGTGTGGAACACCAATATGGACAGATGTAGACCAATTAATTTAGCAAGGAAATTGGCAGATGAATGCAGAGTTTCTCGAGGGGAAGTTTGTCCTAGATTTTTTCGGCCGCACGTTGTGCTTGTCACTGTGTGCCCCCTCTTTGCGTTGATCCCTTTAGGTTTATGCTGTTTTGTGTCTTTGCTTTTGTGTGTATGCGAATGTTCCTGTGTTCGTGTATTCTTCTCTGGTGATCTGCAGTGTCTTTACATCTGTTGCTGCTTCATGTTCGGTCGCTTAGACTGTGCATAGCCCGCGTGTGTTCCTCCTTTCTCACAGTTGATGGTTTTTTGAACGGGTTTCATGCCTTTCTTCTTGTTCGCATTTGTTTCTTTTTTCCCTACCTATTGCATGCAGCTGTAGACGGGTGGTTCGTTTGTTCGTATGTGTGTTCGCAGGGCGAGCCAGCAGCAGCAGCAGCGTGCTGCTTTCCCTGCAGCAGTGAACCGGCAGCTGCCCCCTCTGCGTCGTCTTGGGTGGGTGTACAGCGGAAGGAGGGGGGAGAAGAAGGCGAGGAGGAACTGCTGGTTTCAGAAGAAGCCCTTGCGCGTTTGTCAAGCAAACAATTGAACTCTTTGATTGAAAACCGGCTTCAGGATGAGTTGCGGAAGGCCCCTTCTGTGTCTCGACAGGAGCGGTTGAGCGTTGAGGAAGGCATTGTTTCTTTCAGTTCTTTTCTAACAGTTAAGACGCCAGACTTAGACATGAAAAACTTGGGCAAACCCCAGCCCCTGACAGCCTTCCTCCCCCCGTCCCCCCTCTTCACGTTCGACGGAAAGCTCGGCCTCGACTGTAAAGCATTTAAAATCAACTTCTTTGATGCGGCAGCGAACATCGTTCCTCCATTCTTCCTCAAGCAAGGAGAAACCCTCTCCAAACAACAGCAACAAGTTCTAGACAGCGGAGTATCCAATGCAACCGAGATTGACCTCTTCGGTCCCGACGCTATTCACTCCCTCAGACAGGACCTCAATGCAGCGCGCAAAGATCTCTTGGCAGCATGACAGTGAGCACAGAAGAACAGGTACAACATAGAACAAGCAGTGAGCATCAAATGCAATAACGACGACACCTTGGCAGTGCTCGAAGGCAGCTCGTGCGAGCGTGCATTTACCCTGCAGTATATATCTGTCTTATTCCAAAATCAATGTTTTAACAAATATTTAAGGCACCTCCTCGGCAAACCGACGTGGCGCACTCCATTGGCCTAGCCAGCAATCCAACAATTGGCTGGCAGGTTGGTTGGCCAGCTAGCAGACAGTTGCTGCTGCGCAGCTGCCGTCCACAATTTTTCCCGGCATGAAGAACAACAAAGGTTTTACGTTTAGGTTTTTTGAATCGATTTTCGACCTTCAAGGCTGAGTGCCAAGAGTTTAGGGTTTAGCAACGACACAGCAACCGGGTCGGGTTCATCAGACCTTTCGAACAACCGAACTTCAGTCCTCCACATGCTTCCCTTGCTTCTTCTTCCGAGTGTTTCTGTTGTTCACTAGTGCAACATCTGCGGTTCTGTCATTTTTACTGCTGAGATGACCAAATGGATGTTGCTGAAGTCTTGATAGTTCGTAGGAGGCGTTCCAGCCTCCTCCTGTTTATTGCTTTTCCTCTCAAGTCCTCCACTCTGCGTCTGTTTTGTCTTTGAACTCGCTACCTGCATTTATCCAAAGCTGTATTAGAAGCGATGCCAAACGTGAGGAGGGGACCTGCACCTGTATTGTTTTTATATTCGGGAAAGTCCCTTTCGTCTTGTACTCCACTCAGTAGTTATTATATATATATTAT